CCATCAGACTTGCCTCCCTCTGGGCCCAGATCAGCTTCCGCTGGCTAATCTGTCAGACTGAAACAATACCATTTATCTCACGAAGGCCCCACCCCATCTTCCTTTTTAGTGAAAACTAACAAAACCAAATACCGGCTCCTTATTGTTTTGAAAACAAAGTAAAACTTCTCAGGCCTCAAAATCTTCCACAGTTGGGTTTCAGCTTCAATTCTCACTAAATCATTCTCCTGACCCTTGTCCAACTCCTCTCCCATCCCTGACTCCTGGTGATAGAATGGTTTCTGATTTCTGAAAAATATCGTATGTTTTGCCATCTCTGTGCACCTTCTAGTGCTATTCTTCCCTCTGGGAATGCTTTTCTTCAATTAGAATTGTGTAAATCCAAACTCAAAACCTACTTTAGGGTCCAGGTTGAACTCTGCCTCTGCTATAGGTTTCTCCAGCTGGGGTTCCCGTGCTCATGCCTGTGTGTCTTGGGACTCCCATCACAGCTTTCTTGTATTGCTGTTATTAATTTCTATGTCTTCTCTCCACAACCAGACGATAATTCTTGAGGAGAAGGAGCCACCATAGTTATTATAATCTCTAAACAATGGCTTAAATAAAAGTCTAGTAAATGAATGAATGATGGAGAGCATTCTAGAATAGTAGTATAAGGTAAAGCAATCCAGACACGTAAAAATAGGTCAGGAGAGCATCCCTAAAAGACACAATAAGTTCTGAAGAAAGCATACACGACATTGCAGCAAATGCCAAGGCTTTGGAAAAATAAGCCAGTTCATTTGGAGCTACCAGAAATTTTCTCTGCCTAAGGTATTTCAAAGGGATTGGTTTGAAAAGAAAGTTTATGTAGTCTCCACACTGGTAGCCAGAACCCCCATCTAACAATTCATTAGGGAAATAAATACCAAGATCTCAGACACCTGAAACATACCACAGGAAAACAAAGCAAGGTCCAAGGCTCAAGTGATTTGGGGGCCAAAGTGATGACCACTGCAAAGATAAACAGAGCATTCTTAGGTCTACCCTATACTGAAGAAGGCTTAACCAAAATTCAAATATTGCTCCTTATAAAAAAGAAAACACAGCCCCATTACTACTCTTAAATTCTGCCAGTTTTAGTGTCTGAATGGCTCTTGAATGCTACCCCCTCTCAGTTCCCAGTCACTGCCTGGATTGGGGTAGCACCCCTCACCTGACTCACGGGGAAAGCTTTCGAAGGTTCTTGCCAACATTTCTTTTTTCTTCACTCACATTTCCCTCTAAACCAATGCCAGAAAGATCTGACAAAGCCCACATCTGATTGTGCCACTTCACTTCTTTGGTGGCTCTCTTTTGCCAGAAAAGCAGGCCTGGACTCCTCAGGGTGGTTTACTAGGTCTTTCACAACCAAATTTTAGCTTCCCTTACAACCCACCTCTTTCCATTCCCCACAAATCACCAGGAGCTAGTTATGTTTTCCTGTTGGTTCCTGCATCTAAAATGCTCTTTCCTCCCTGACCTTGTTTATGACCATTAGTCATCACTCAAAGTCAAGTGCAGAAGTCCTGGTTTGGAAACATATGCCCCTTCCTCTATTGATAATAATCATAGGATTAAGGTTAAGAAAAACAATGCCCACATCAGAGGTAGTTTCTTTAAAGAATTAGTGACTAAATGTTAATCTTCCTATCCTAATTTAGAAGACATATCCCACTGCCATCCTCTTCGTTAAGAATTCACATTATAATTTTCAACACTTAGGAATAAGCACTGCCTAATTTTGCCTACAGCTAGTTAATAGAAAGTAGGAAAACTGAGTGCTTCCTGAAAAACCTGTGATAATTACACACTTAACTTTTTTTTTGTTTTGTTTTTTAATTTCAGAAACACCCTGGCACAAGCACAGAGTGAAATGTTTCTCTAATTGTATGCATTTATAATCATGGCATTTACCAGTTAAAGAAAATACTAGAAATGCCTACCCAGAAAGCTCTAATCCCCTTCAATTTGTAACAAGATGTAACAGCAACAAAGCCTTTGTTCTATCAAGCTCCTGTCATTCCCAAGGCAGCAGACTTCAAAGTAACTTCCTTATTGGTGCATATATATAAAAAAGGATGTAGCACTCTAGAACTAGAGTAGCAATGGAGCTTAGTAAAAAGAGTAAATAGGCAATTTGGATTCTAACTTAAATTTCTGCCATTGTCTGCTCTGCTAGCTTGAGCCCAGGGATGGCAGATAAGGCAGATGAATTCCTGCAAAATAATAAAACAAAGGAAATCTGTATTTAACTCCAGGGTTTGGTCATTATTGTTAAAACAAGAGGAGATAACAGTAGACCTGGGTTTACACTAGTCAACTGTGGCTTCCTCTGTACATGCTCTGTGTTAGAATGGAGCTTCCCTAAGCAAGAGCAGATGACTGTGATTGCAGGAGAAAAGAAAGTGCTGCTTCCATCTCAGGAACACGGTGAACTTGGTGGGCCAGCAGAGGTCTAGCAAATACTCAGGACATGAAAATTTTAAAATACAGTTGGGGTTTTATTTTTAATAGATTATCATAAAAATGTAAGCATTAGTTATTAAGGAGTGATTCATTTAGTAGAGCAGTATATCAACACCAGCCCTGAGAGCTGAATAGTTCTTGCAGAAGGGAGATCATAGAATGGTTGACTTTATACACATCATATAGAAGGAGAAATCCTTAATATTCACCTTTCCTTTCTTTATGCTTTGCAGGAAAGTCATAATTCCAACATTCATCTTCCCTCTCAGAAGCATAAACACTTCTGAGGTGTTAATGCACCAACATACAACACCCTCGTAAGAAGCAAAAGACCTTAGTGCTCTATTTTACAAACTTAAAATGCAGATTTAAAGGTAAAAGAACAAATAACCATAAGCAAAGTTACAAATCTTCAGCCATTAAATTTCTGTCTCATGTCAAAAGCATTCTGATTAACGCTAAGTTCAGATTTTTTTTTTAAAGAGAGAGAGAGAGAGAGAGAGAATTTTTTGATATTTATTTGTTTTTAGTTTTCAGCGGACACAGCTTTGTTTGTATGTGGTGCTGAGGATCGAACCCGGGCCGCATGCATGCCAGGCGAGCGCGCTACCGCTTGAGCCACATCCCCAGCCCCTAAGTTCAGATTTTTACTGTTAGATCTTAGGAGGGTATTTAACCTCATTAGCTAGAACTATTGATAACATTCTGAATTGGAATTGAAGTAAGCATAAGACAGAAGCAACACAGGTATCATGTTAATGAGCATAAAGTTCTTGTGGCCTAAAGCTGATGACCGCTGACTTCAGTGAAGTGGTACTCTACGTTTGACTTCGAAAGATACCCCATCTCAAGTAGTCACTGGTTCACTGCATCTAATCTTCAATTATAAGATAAACTGTTCATTTTAAGGACCACTAGTAAAGAAGAATGATCACGAATACACTATGACATTTTTGTTTTTTATGGTACTAGGGACTGAACCCAGGGGTTAACACATGCTGGGTAAGTGCTCTGTCACTTTTTTAATTCATTTTTTTATTTTGAGACAGAGTATCACTGAGTTGCCCAGGCTGGCCTTGAACTTGTGATGCCCTACCACAGCCTCCCAAATAGCCAGGATTACGGGTTTGGGACCCTGTGCTCAGTTGCACTATGATGTGTTTTCATATCATCAATAGTTAAGGCTTTTTCTAATTTCAATCAGGCTAAAATGTAGGGACATATACATCATGAAATCAGTAAAACAAGGCATAGGAAAACTATCACTCTTCTGATTGAAATGAGTCAAAAGGAGGATTGTTTTCAGAAATTTAAGCTGCATAACTGGGATATTCAAAATCCTAAGCACATGGATATACTTTGCTATTCTCAAGCTTCAGAGGACTTTGAACAACTTAAACAAGCCCCTAAATTTTTCCCTGGTACCTGCCAAAGTGAAGGTGTCGGGGACTCCCTGCTGCACTTAAGGTCAATAGTCAGCCCTGAAATAGTTTAGTCACAAGACTTTGAAACTGCCTAATTATTCCCCCCCTTGAGACACCAACTGTTACAATTTGAGGCCACACTGTTAGAGATGTGCTGTGTTATTAAACTAAGCAGCCAGCCAGCCTAGGACTTCTCACCTTCTCTCCTGCTCAGCAAGACCCTGACAGCTGTATTGATGGACTTGGACTAGGAAAAGCATGAAGCAACTTTTCCCCCTTGGAAGGGGACGAAAATAAAATTCCATGGGAAAATTAAAGTCAGAGAAAGACATGTTTATGAGCACAGAGGAATGTTCCCCTTCATGAGCAATCCTGGAGAGTGCCGACCAACCGAAACTGAAGTCTTACAAACAACAGCAAAATCAGAGGACAACAATGTTTAGCAGAAGACAGTGGCTGCCCTGGCTCCCCAGCGGGAGGGCAGCAGTCTCAGCTCTAAGCTGGAGCTGAATAACTGCTTTCAGGGCACCAAGCAGAACGACCTTTCTCCTAGCTTTAGCTGTGTCCAAACAATGTCATGCTTGTTGGAACACAACATTCACAAGATACAGGGAAATCTCCCTCTGACCCTCCCACTTGATGTGAGCATCGACATTCTGTTCTTCTGTCCCCATCTATTTCTAGTGACTTAGGATATATTACTTTGACAAGTAGATCTACCCTCATGCCAAAGATAAAAGTACACCGGAACATTCTTTCAAAATCCATATTCATTGAACAATCTGATGGGACAAAACTTCCAGAGTCAAACCTGGAAGCCATCAGGTGTTCATGTTTGCCTAAGAGTATTCTCAGATACCTACGTGGCTTACTTTAGAGAAGGGTTCTCTTACAAAGCCAGTGTCATAAACCGCTAGCTTACAGCTATGAGTATCTGACATTTTTGCTAAGGAGGATGCTTTGGGGGAAGAAAGAAAACCCCAAACCTAAAAAAATTTAAAATAAGCTATTCTTTTCTTCAAACATATAACCAGGCAGAAACATTCTCTACCCCTTCAAACCTGCATCCCCAAGACGAAAAGGGCTTACGTGTTCAGACTTCTCCAGTTCTTTTTTGTCTGTCTGCAAAAACTGACAGTTTTCTCTTGCCAGCTTCTGGACCAGTTCAATGCGTGCGATATCATCTCTCTCTTGAAGCTTGCACATCACCCCTGCCTTAAGAGTTGGAGAAAAAGCGAAGATATACTTAAATCCACAATCCCAGGACATGGCACCACTGCGAAGTTCACCTTATAATAGGCTCATTTTTTTCTGTGACCTGGATTCAGTCATGATCTTGGTAAAATATTCCTCTGCCTTTCTAAAACTGAAATTATTTTAATCTAGAGCTCTCATGCCAAAAGACTTGAAGTTGAGATCATGTATCAGTGTACTTTAAGAGAGCGAAGGGCAAACTAAATCATTTGCTACTACGTGTGTGCCTGATATGCTGCTATTTGTCTGTCCCTGACAGCCTGTTTCCTGTTACATAAGCAAAGCCTAGCAAGAGGTTAAAAATTCATGGGAAAGTTTAGCCAGGAACCACTCTGGCAAAAAGGGTGAAGTGATACAGAGTCCTAAAAATAACAGCCTACAACTTCTCAATTCTTTAGCTTCACTAGATCATTCCATAGATAAATACACACTTAAAAAGAGGCGTACAAGATGATTTTTTTTTTTTGGTCACAACTGGAAAATTACTATGCAATATGAGTGCTCCTGATGTTGCATGAAAATAGTGGAAATTTTTATTTAAAATAAGAACTTGAAAAAACAAAGCTTAAATTTTTTATTCATCAGAGTTTGGAAGTGGTCCATTAAGTATCAAAATTTTTATTAGGTCCAAATACCTAAGGAATAATAATGAGAAAAGAGGTGACTATAGAACTTTGGAATTGAAAATACACACACACACATGAATACATATAATGAATATGTATACATATACTATATATAAATATATGTCATATGTATATGTACATATACATATGCATCCATTCTAACACACAATTTATAAAATGTTTCTGTTCAAATTCTTTCCAAAATGGTTCATGCTGATATACTAAGGCATGATCTAATAAAGAGATCTTAAGTTATACTTGGCAGAAGTAGTAAAAACTATAGAATTCTTATTTTACACAACACAGCATGCAGGATTTGAATGTGGTAGTCAGCAACATGACCAAATATGGGGAAGGGGCTCAAAACTGATACAAAGCTACATGGTCTTCATGGTTTGTGCTGAAGCCACCCATGCTGTTGAGTGGGCATTACAAAAATAGAAACCATCCATTAAAAGCAATGACAATAACTTTATTCCCAAGGGCAGTGACATCCCTTTTATCTAGTTGTTTCTCCAATTCAGAAAGAAAGAAAGAAAATCCTTGAAGTGGCCCAAATCACAGATTCCCAGAGGACTGCAAGTAGAATTCCTCCACCCAAATCAGACAGGTATTTTTACAACATCCTTCACAACTGGTTTTCTGGTTCTTTTTCTAAGTTTCATTGGACGGGGATCTCAGTCTATCTTAAGACACTGATGGAGGAGCCAGATATTTGGAATGTCCCATATTATTCTAGGCGAAATTCTAAAACTATTTAATGATAACTCGTGAGTACTAGTTTTGTCTTTTAAAGTCATTGTCACTAGGCCTATTCCTTTTCCAAAATGACCATCTTTCTAATATGTAAATATAAATATTTACTATAACTTTTAATATTCTCAAGACATATGTCCCTAGTTCTTTAAGTTATTTTATTTCATCATTCATTCACTCAAAAGACTTTATTTGAGCAACAACCCACTGAGACTACAGAAGTCAGCAGAAAAAATCCCAAGGTCTCTCACATCATGGAACTTATATTCAATAAAAGTTTATATAACATATAAATAGAAATAGCAGGTGGTAATATGCGACAGGACAGAAAATAAAGCAGAGTAACAGGATGGAGAATTACTCAATATATTAGTGAGATAGAGATGTCAGGGGAGGATTCTCTAGGAAGACAACTTTGAGTGGAAACCTAAAGGAAGTGAGAAAAAGGTCATGTGAACACCCAGAGGAAACATGTTCTCAGCTGAGGAACAGCCATGCAAAGACCCTGAGGCCTGGCTGTGCTTCACAAATTCAAGGACCAACAAAGAATAGGTGCAGCAGAACAGGGTTGGTAAGGGGCAGACTGGCAAGGCTGGTCACAGAGGTGTAGGACTAGATCACCTATTTCCTTACAGCCTGTATAAAGAGTTTGGATTCGTTCTCTGAGTAAGATATAATGGAATGTTTTGAAAAGAGGATTGGCATTAATCTGATTTATACTTTGGAGGGTCATTATGTGTTCTGGGTTGGGTGGGAGGAATCTAGAAGACCATTTAGGAGACTGGTTTTCACATAAGAGACAGCTTGGAACTTGTGGCAGTGGGGGGCACGATAAGGATTTGTTAGAATCTGAATATATTTCCAAGGTAGGGCCAGCAGATTTTGATATTTTTATGCATTGAAAATATCAGGTCTGAGCAGCTGGAAGGATGAAGTTGTCTTTTACTGAGACTGGAAAAATTGGGGGGAGGTCTTGGAAGGAAGATACCTACTAGACATCCCAGTGGGGTTGCTGGAGGCTCAGGGAAGGGATCCAGGTATAAATTGGAATCTGGAGACATCAAAGTTTAGATGGTTCTACTTTGGTTGTAAGGATGGAAGGTTGTAAATCCAGGAGCTGAGTCAAATGTTCAGACACTGGGAAGATAACAAGTGATCAGAAAGGAAACTAAGGAAGAGCAGCTCCTGAGGAAGATCTGGAGAGCAGTGGAGATGTTTCAGAACAGAGAGAGCAAAATCCTCTCTCCAAATGCTGCTCAGGAATTAAAGAAGATGTTCAAAACAATTGACGTTAAATTTGACAGAAATAATCAGTGACTTTGAAAGAAGTCATTTTATTTGGGGGTAGAGACAAGCTTCATTAATTGTGTTAGGAAAGAAAGAGGCCCTGGCTGGAAAGCCAGGTTGAAGGGAGTTTTGCTTGATTGCTCATTGGCATTGAGATGAGGGGCATTCCAGCATCCTGATCATATTTGATTTGATGATTTCATATTTGTATCAGAAATCACTGGGTGGAGAGGGAAATCTGATGATGCAGGAGGAGGATAGTGCATTTTCACGAGTAATGTTCTTGAGCAGGAAAGATAAAGATCTACCCTCAGAAGACAGAAATATAAATATTTCATCTACTGGAACAGGAGGGAAGGGGACATAGAGGGGCAAGTATACAGGGACCTTGGGGAAATTCTTTTCTGAAGGCTTCTACTTCCCAGAAAATCAAGACATCAAGTTATTAGCTGAGAGCAAGGAGGGCGGGGCGCGGGGAGAAGATGTTAGAAGTAATGGAAAAGAAGGCATGTGACAGCCATTGGAGTTGCAAATGCTGGCAAACCTCCTCTGTGAGGGGCCAGAAAGTCAATGCTCTAGGCTTTGTGTGCCATGGGCTCTCTGCCATAGTGACTCAGTTCTACAGCAGGAGCGCAAGAACTGCAAGAAACAATAAGGTGGTGATTGCCCATAATCCTGGTGACCCAGGAGGCTGTTGCAGGAGGATTGGAAGTTCTAGGCCAGCCCTGGCAATTAAGTGTCTCAAAACTAAAAATAAAAATAAAAACGCTAGGGATATAGTGAAGTGGTAGAGAGTTCCTGGGTTCAATCTCCAGTACTACATACACAAACATTTAAAAATAAAAATATGTAAACGAATGATCATGGCTATGTTCCAAAAATACTTAACAAAAACAGGGAACAGGTTGTGGTTTATCAACTCCTGACCTAAAATAAGAGGAAAGTGGAATGGAGAAGGAAAGTGAGATTGCTGGGCTGGCAGTGTAGACCAGTGGTAGACAGACCACACATGGCCTGGGTTCCATCCCCAGCACTGCCCCGTCCCCTGCCACCAGTCAAGTATTATTAAGGGCCCACTCGGTTTTTACTTTTAAATCCTTTATTCACCCTAGCCTTCCTAATAAGGGGATATTTCTGTTTGTCAGGATTTTAATGGAGCCCATAACCAGAGATGATGCTACATACACGGAGCATCACAAAGATGCTCTTCTACTCAATCCTAAGGAGGGTGATAAGAGGGCCAAGGTGCCAAGTGTTCTTTTAAAGTAGGAAGGCACGGGAACTATTTGGGCTATTTCTCCTTGCAAGTAACATTTTTTAAACATTATATCACTTAAAGGAATATATTTCTGTTATCTAGAAATTCATTTACACCTGAGTCTAAAACTGAGTCTCCTGCCATGTCATCCTTACAGACTTTAAGATTCTGTCCCGAGACAGGAGAGAGGGTGCTAAAGAGCCTCCACCTCAGGTCTTCCTCTGTGGTTTATTCTGCAGTGTGGGCTAGTGCACCACCTCCTCTCTGCTCCCTGATGTGGCCCCCACCCCCATGTGATAGAGGACAAGGCCCAGGCAGAGCTGGCACCCAGGTGAGAGCATGGAGGGGCACAGGGGACAACCAGCCTGCTCTCACCAGCACAGGCTCCACAGCCACAAGACTGAGTTCCCACAGATTCTAATTCGGAAATTCTAATTCGGAAATAGTCTTTCCTCTGGTTGTAGTTCCTCTACACAGTTTTTTAAACAACTGATAACGGCATTAGCAAGGAAATGCTGGGACTAAGAAGAGGCCTTGACTGTTTTCGTGTGAGAAGACAAGTTTGAAAGGAACTCTAACCAGTCTTCATGTCATGATAAGCATCCTGAAAACAGGCTCTTCTTTTAGGAGGAAACATTTTTATTAGAACCAGATATTTGGGTGCACCAATCAAATATAAAAAAATAAAAATCCATCCATCTATCTATCTATCTATCTATCTATCTTATCTATCTATCTATCTATCTATCTTGCATAAGGAAAGAACCCAGGACCTCCCACATGCTGGGCATGCACTCCACCATAAGGCTATATTCCCAGATCCAAATATGTATTTTAAACACAAAATGTTATTACTTTTAAAAATGAGTTTCAGATTAACCAAATTACTGTATATTTACTCCATTATCTTCTATTTATTTATTTATTTATTTATTTGGTCTAGTTGGAAACAATGCCTTTATGTTATTTATTTCTTTTTATGTGGAGCTGAGGATCGAACCCAGGGCCTCGAACGTGCTAGGCGAACGCTCTAA